TCTCTCTCTCTCTCTCTCTCTCTCTCTCTCTCTCTCTCTCTCTCTCTCTCTCTCTCTCTCTCTCTCTCTCTTTCTCTTTCTCACCCTCACCGTTTCTCTCTCGTTCACGCTCTCTCCGCTTGCCCTCGTCACTGAACTCTCAAGGTGGAGGCACTCGGCGACCGGAGGAGATGCGCTCGCTTGGTAGATATCTTCTCGTTTTGCCTCTCGCTCGTCGCTGCTTCTCCGTCTGCCGCACGACCGTGCGTGCGTCGCCGCTGATCCTAGCGTGGTGTGCGCGGCCGAGAAAGGTGAACCGTTAGGTGGTAAGATCCAAAGGGTGTTCTAATCGTTCCTCTCTTCGCGTGTGTGTGTGTGTGTGTGTGTGTGTGTGTGAGAGAGAGAGAGAAAGATAGGAAGAGTCTATAGTCGACGGAGAAAATTTTTAAACTACGGAGAATGTGATCAGACGACAACATCCGATAGCGTTCCGCCGATGCGATCGATTCTCTTCTCGGACGATCGAGATAAATTCAATTCGTTCTCGACGTAGAGTCATCGAGAAATCCGGCATCGAGTGATTTGCCTGTCTGTCGTCCGTCAATTCGTCAGACGGATGCTTCGTAGCTGAAACCGTTTTAATTCCCATTTTAATTTGCAACGAGCTGTTTATCGCGATACGAGTGACGGATGAAACGGGGGAAATAATTCAAGCCACTCTCTCTCTCTCGGCTGCTGTATTCTTCTTCCCATCGTGCCGATATCGAGACGTTAAGCTGCGAGTCGTTTAATCTAATCGAAAAATAATATTTCCGCAAGCATCTTCGAGCAAGCGTCGAAACGCTTAAGCACGGGGACGATTAAAGGAGCCGGTTAAACGTCGTCGTCGACGACGATGCGACGCGATTTCATCCTATCGACTTTTCCGCGTGGAATGACGCGCGACGACGCGACGACGCGCTAAACAATAACGCCTGGCGATTATCGCAAATCCCCCGCCGGTTTCTTCGTCACTTATCACCTGAGCGCTGATCCGGGTTAAGTCTCCCGAAGCGTCCGAGGAGGAGAGCGCCGCTAGTAAAGCGTTCGCGGAACCGCGCCGGCCACGTAACCATAGCGTGTAGAACACGAACCTAGTTCGCGAAATACGTCATGTCGCCGAAATTTATTCATCCGTATTTCTCGCGAACGGTGAAAACCGCCCCTGGACAAAAGAGCAACCCTATCTGCGAGGTATCGCATAAACAACCGAGATCGCCATCTTCCACGAGTATGTACGACCAACCACCTTCCCCGATGCCCGCTGCAGCTTTTCTCCTCGCATCCCTTTGGGCGTCTGTTGTTGCCGGTGTCGCTGGCTTCCCGAGAGTGCGAACGATTTCACAAAAGAGACACACGCGCGCGCGCTCTCCCTCCACGAACCTTTCCCCCGTTAATCCCAAAAGTCCATGGATGTTAAAAGGGAACGTATTCTCCGATGGGTCGTTTACAGGATCGCAGTTGTACCCTGACACTGGCCGACGATGACGCTTTTAATCCAGCGTGCTAGGCATCTCTAGCCACGCCAGCTAGAGTGTCGTAGAATTTGCCAGCGTTGATCGATTCCGACGATTTCAACCGGTTGAAATTGATATATTTCGCAGTCGCATCGTGCGAAGAACGCAAAAGAGGTGTACGAAGTAATTCGAAAGGGGATGAATCGAGGTGAAAGGTAACAACAGCTGCTTGTCCGATCTTTTAGATTCCCGACGATCGTTTTTCCCCTACTATCGACGCTGAATTTGTCATTAGATACAGAGCGATACGTTGCATCGAGCATCGGGCGTTGGAAAGCTAATTCTTTCCGTACGGACAATTGTGTAATGCAAATGCCGTCATGTTCGGGCTTACGTAAATGATCCACGCGAATGATTACCAACGACTCGGCGAATGATACAACGGCGAGAATACCAATGGTGCATGAACTCCTCGGCACGTTTCACGCTCGATCTAAGGACAAACCGATGGCAACTCGACTCGTTGCCGTAAAATCGCGCGGCTATTAGAATTTTCCACTCTCTACCCGGTTTGCGAAATCGAAACGCGCTCGCAACGAGGCCAGATACGAGGCTCCGTTCGCTGGAAACGGTTGATCAATGCTATCGTCGAGTCGCCGAGAACTTCCTGCGCGACGAAAACTTGCACGTGTTCGTAGGTGAAACGCGACTCGCTTGGCTGGCTTCGAATACCTGGGAGCATCTCGCTTCGTGTCCCACGCAAACTCCACGCTCGCGACGAGTTTCCAGACGACGCACGCTTTCACACCTCACGAACCTACGACAATCGTCACTGTCTGGCCTCCGTGGCGTCGGAGCAGCTGCCTGGAACGAGATTTCGGGGATATATACCATCGACGGAGTAGGGTGGGGCGAGTAGATGACGGTCCATTGTCGAGGTGAGTTTTCTGTTAACCTGCGTGAACCAACATCGGCTATTGATGACCGTTTCACGGATCGTTCCGCCGCGTAAAAACCGAGAAATTTCGAACGGGCCCCTCTGGCCGATAGACGCGACGAATCGTTTCTGCTCCGAAAAGGTAAACTCGATATCCTACGTACGAGAGCTAAATCACATAAACGTGACGAAGAAATTTGGAGAAAACCACCCCGTGCCGAGGTCTGTTTAAATTTTAAACTAAACTAAATTGACGAGTCGAAAGTCTCGGTCGCTGTTTTCCATGGCGTTCCACGCTCGTTTCGAGTAATTAGCCCGACTCGCGCACGTCCGTGTCACACCAGCGAGCATCATTCGAATTCGTTCCGCGTGTCTGACGTCATTTCACGGCCTCGTTGATTTTATGGAAGCTCGTATCGCGCGAGATGCAAGAATTTCGCGACACGTGTCGACCGATTCGGCGAATTACGAGCGTGAATAAGCCGCCGCGTTGCTCCGGGGTTAGAGTCCACTCCGCTCGGCACGGTGTCCCCGGCGATCGTTCGCAACGAACGCGAAGGAAACGACGACGTACCACGTAAGAGCGCAAAGTTTCCAAGTTGAGACACGTGGACACAGGGATCGTACGACTTTCCCGGCCGATGTATTTTACGCGCGTTGCGCGTCAACGTTTGTTGACCGATACGATCGAACACCTGGCCAGAGGGAATTAAACCTCGCGCGATTCCGCCGGCTCGAACTATACCTCGCCGGTTATACATTGTTTAGCAGTTGTTTCCTACGGCCTAAATGGATAAATACCGCGTACGTTCTTCAACGAGCAGAGTCGTTGTAACAGCGAGTGTTGTGGTCTTATTTGTGCGACCGTAATACGAAAAGTCGAGGTTGCTTTACGCCACTTGCTAGAGCGACGGGACTAAAGAGATTTGCTCGCGTAACCAGCAAAAACCAGCAAAAACACAAAAAACAGAGACACACTAAGAAACACGTTTACCAATACGAAGAGAGAAACTTCGTCGAAGGTTATCGCGAGTTGCGGCCACTCGCAGACTCACCGGTAAACAGATTACGCAGGAATCTAGAATCGGCTTAATTACGTACGGGTAGGTACGTGTCTCGAGCGTTCTCTAAGCATTGCGCGTCGAGGCCACGACGCGTAATAACTTCATTTACGGCGCGTTTCCGTAACAAGCTGCGAGCAACTGTAGCAGCACCTGCTCTCGTGGGAAAGAATTCTCTTTGTCCGCGCGGGCACGATCGGATCGGCGTTGGTTGGGCCGTGGCGTTTCAGCAACCGGCGGGACGAGCTCGCGCGTCCCAGCGCGGAACTCTGCGCGGATACGCGTTGACACGGCGAAAAACGATGGAAGTGTCCTGATACGATACCATCTAACGGCAGTGATATCAGTTAAATATCAGTCGATCGGCCGTACGGCCGTTGTACTTGGTACGCTGTACTCACGCAATTTTTCCACGGTGCGTCCGGCTAGTCCCGAGTAGTCGTCGACGGGTGTCTGCAACAGAAAACCAGCCGGTCATTAACGTTGTATCAGCCTCGCACCTATTTATACGTACGACTGTACGGCAGTGCGTCCCACGTATCCGCGCGAGTGTGTACACACACAGCCGCGGCGAGATCGAATCTCGAAACTCGTTCGCTGCGCCGCGTCGGCAATATCTATGGTTCATTTAAACGCGTCCCCCCTTAATCCCACTATTTCTTTCGTTATAATCCCACCAGCCAGGACAGGACGACGGTGCTGTACCGTCCCCCCATTTGCGTTAAATGCCCGCATTACCTGCACACACCGGTGGAAAGATTATTCGCTCGCGTGGAACGTGTACACGCGGCGCGCAGTTCGCGCGAGGAGCGCGTCAATGCTCGTCGTACAACAGGTGGAGGAAAAAGGAGCGTTCGGGTCGTTCGTTACGTTTATTCCGGCATGATACAATTCGCCGAAGCGAGCGCTTGAAGAACGAGCGAGGAAGAGGCGAACGACGACGATGGTGGTGGCTGATAACGAGACACGTCCTTGCGAGTATATACGCGTACGTATGTTGTTCGTCGGTGTGTGTCCAAGATATACGCGAACATCGTGCTAGATTATCGTAAGGTTTTGCATTCGAGGGATTTCAGTAATCCATTCTCTTTGCGTAATCCTATTATCGGCCGTTTTCCTTGTCGGACGTGCGTACACAACGCTACTTTCCGGGATGATCTTCCGCTCGAGCGGAATTGGCCTCGTTTTGCGAGAATCGAGACTATCCGACTGACGTACGGGAACTCGTGCCTCTGGACGTTTACTCCAAAAACCACTGCTGCGCTAACAGAGAGCACAGCTTGCAGGATCGGTCGCGTCGTTGGACGAAGTTGCGGCGTGTCCGACGATCCCGCGTGACAAATTGGTTCAGGTACGTCGTCTATTTACGCGCTTCGAGGATGCTCGTTTATTTATCCGTCTCGTTCGGGGGAATAACATTTTACATAAATCAGTGATTAATTCCGTGGAATCCATGGTGCCGCGAGCCGCTCCATTGGTTGTGCAAACACACGCACGCGGACTGTGCGTGCACACGTTGCGAACACGTGCGTGTGAAGCTAGTCCACGTGGCTTGATGTCGCTCGTTTCGTTCACTCTCTCTCTCTCTCTCAGACCAACAGGCGTTCCCCGGCATAGTAATTGTGACACGTATCGAATGCATTCATTTCGCGTAGGTAACGTCTCACTCGACGTCGCAGAGCGCGCGCCACACTGCCAGCGCAAACGCCGAAGGGGAAACGAACACTACCACACTTCAATTGTACCATGCGCGCTTGTACACGCGTTTATACACGCGGACGTAGCAACGCGACCCGCACGCATGTACACGCACACTCCATACACGAGCGACGCATATTGGAGCCGAGGGACCGACGGCACTTTCGGAGAACCTCCCCACGGGGCAACCGAGATCGCCTCGAATCGAAAGGGAACCAGTCGGGAGGGGGCTGGCTGTGGTGCCAACTTAATGAGGGACCACCTAGCTCTAACTGTTTGTTTTTCAATGGGATCCAGCCCCGGAGAAAATACGCTGCCGCGATCCACCGAACGTGGCCGATCCCGTTTATGGCCTTGTATCGCCAGCCCTATTCCCATAACTTCCGCGATTTCGGCGTGAAATTACACGCGGCGGAATCGGCGCGAGAAACGCCGAAAGCGCGATAAAGGTGCCTCCTTCGTTCTCTTTCTTTCAGCTACAGTTTTTCTGCTCCTTTTCTCCTCTCTTCGTTCCTTTTTTCCCCATCTCTTTCGGAGAACTCGAACGCTGGCCGTGCGTTTCACGATTCGCGCTAACCATCGTACGTAGGATTGTTCAAACGAAGCAAAGGAGAGGATGTAATTTCACACGAGAAATCGACAGACACACACACACACACACACACACCGGGCACAATGCGAAGGCTCGCATCGCCTCGGACGGTTTTCTGTAATTCACGGCCATAAATTAATCCCCGGCGTGTATCAACGACGCGCAAATTACACACGCGCGGCCGAGATATTTAATACCGAAGACACACTGTAATTATCGTTGGGTCGCGCGACGCCCGACTCTTTTTCGCAAACCGGCGCCCGGCTAACGCCCGATGTAACGCATTTATAACGGGGTCCGATGTGGTAGCCTGAGACACGAATGACCGTGGAACTAGCTCAGTTCCTAACGTCGTGTCTTCTTTTTTTCAAGCGAGCTGCTGCACCACCCGGGGACCTCGCTTCTATTGCGTCCCACTTTCACCGTTCTTTCATACGGGCCATTCCCAGACAGGAAAAATTAGGCAGGAATTTCTCTCTCTCTCTCTTTATCGCGCGCACGCTTTTACGAATTCACCGCACGTTTTTACCGGATCTATCGCAATCACTCGCGATCCGTTCCGCCGCCAGGCTGCTCGTGTTACTCTTTCATTAAATATTCTTAATTTCGTGTAACGTTCATTTCGCGTCTGTACGTACGTTCTCTACGCACACCAGTGTGCTTACGCCGTAACGGCTCACGGATTAAGAGAGGCACTCCCTTGCGGTTTATACTTACGCGGTAATGGCAGTTGAAGAAAGTACCCGCCCCGCGTGCACTTGCGCGTGAAACCACGTTTTACATTTTTTGCCGCGTTATATTTATCGACGCGACTGCCTTACACGATTGTCCATTATCCTCCCTCCGTTAATTGCGAATCTACGTGTGCGCACGACGCCGCCGTCGTGCGTAATCGTGCCGAAGATAACGAATCCTGGAAACTATCCACTTAGATTCCGGCATAACGTGCAATTACGCGCAATTATTACGCGGTAACATCTTCCGAGTGGGATATTTATTAGAGCGAGTGGTTGCGCAGCGAGTGCAACCTCCTCCAGCAGTGTGCCCTCGTTCGAACCGCGTGGTAATACGTCTCCCCCTACCCCTTCGACCTCACCGTACGACATACACGTGCGCACGTATATCGATTATACGCGTTTTACGCTAAAAACAATGAAACACGGCTTTATCTTGACGCGTATGTACGTGTTTCGTGCTCGCGTTGTTTGATCAGCTCCCAATGATCGACGCCCGATACGATTTTGTCGGACTGTTTTCACGCAGTTGCATTCGTACGTTGTAATCCCTTTATCGCATCTTGCTTCGTTGTACTTAAGGATATTTCGCCACAAAATCTCGTTTCTTCTTTTTTTTTCTTTTTACAGCACGCGTCACGCGCGTCGAAGACCAACAAGACGTCTCGGTTACTCCGTAAAAAAGACTGAGTTTTAAAAAAAATATCTCAAACTCAGTTGACGCAAATGGACCGACACTCTTTTACGCTTATAAGAAGAAGAGATATGCAGAAAGCACTGTGGGGGAAAAAAAAAAAATCAATCGTTGAGCGCGATATCGAGGACCGTGGAGGGGGAAACATACGCCGGTCGCGATTTTATTTTATTTTGTAGCTGACAGGTTCCGCGAGAAACCTGCTTGCTGTTAACGTGTGTCTGTAGGCTATCCTACACGATCACGAGTATCATTCTGGATTTTTGCGCGTGACACGCGTGTGAAAAACGCTGCCCCGTGAAACGTGTCGACGCGCGTTCGAGCCTCGCGTTTCACGTTCGACACCTCGCGCTAATCGATTAATCGAGATTCCCGAGTCCGCGAGTCCCCGATTCACGAGTCGTCGACGGGACGAACGTTAGAGGTGGAATAAGTGCTAAGTCAGAGGCGAAGACGCGGAGCCGGTCGTGGCACTTTCATCCAACTGGTGGCTGGCCCAAGGACGATTTGTTCCTATTAGCGGGCCCGTGTTAATCACCACGGCCGTATAAACTCGCCCGCTAATGAGTCGACATATCATTTTCTCCGCGCAAACAAATTCCGCCGGGACGAGACGGAATACGCGAGTTTCGTATTAATTCGTGAGCGTGCCGGGTCACGGCGTAAATCTCGATTCGGTGGGAAAATTATCGTCCGCCAACTTGATAACGCTTTTATGCGACAAATTACATGCCGTCCGTCGTAAAGCTACCGTTCTCCCTTGGCAAACAACTCGCTGAAGATAAACAAACCGTTTTATTGCCGTGATTATACCGGGATCTCCGCTGCTGCTTTCCAGACGCATCTCACGGATTTGCGTATCGATTTGTCGTTACGATTCGGAAAGATATCCCTCGTCCCTTTCGAATCTTTGAGAGATAATCGTCGCACGCAACTTCCTCCATCTTTCGCGAGGCGTGAAGCTGATGGATCGACTCGATTAATCGTTGGGAAATTTCTCTCGATAAAAGGTGGTAATTGCGTCTATCAAGCGTGGTATCCCAGCGGCCGGAACGGACGCTCGATTACTGACCCTGTCGATGTTTCACCGCGAGATTGCTTCGATTTATCGATCCTCTGGCCGATCGATCGACTCCTCGGTCACGATCGATACGTTCCTTAAGAAGAAAGACGCGCGTTGTTGGCCGTTTTTCGTTTCTTTCGAAACTTATCCAGCTCGAGGTTCCTTCAAACGAACATGCATATTTTTATTTATCGTGTCCTGTGCATCGGTGAAATCTTCCGCGAGACGGAACACGAAACGTCACTTACTTGGAAACATCGTGCCACCTCGTAGCTGACCCCCCCCCTCTCACTCTCTCTCTCTCTCACTCTTTCCCTCTCTTTCCCTGTCTCATCGAGCGAGTCCTCTCGTCGTCGACTGATCAATGCCCCTGCAGCGTTTCACGTTGGAACGTGTGAAGCCAGACGCGAGTTTGTTATTACAACGGTATTTCGTGAAATATTTGCGCTATGCGATGCCGATTCAGTAAGGCGGCCGGCAGCCGCGCCGATCGAGCTTCCTCGACCCGAAGGACGAGGCGAAAGTCAGCAGAGAGAGAGAGAGAGAGAGAGAGTCGAGACCTTTGCCGTCTCGGGGAAAACTCGTGCCGCGTACGAACGAACAGTGAATAGCAACTAGCCGGTTGGTCGTTGATTATCGAGGCAAAGAGAGGAAAGGGTTGACGCTGACAAA